CAAATATATGAGAGAGGGAAAACATATAACTATATATATATGCCCATTATCGATAATCCATGATTGCTGGTAGTACATAAAAATAAATTAATTCTGTACAGTCCACTAAAAAGGAAGTAATCATTCTGTTTCCTTTTATTAATTTAAGAGGGCACAGATAACCCAAAATAATGAAAAAAAATCACTTGTATGTCTTTCAGAGGTGTTAGAACTGAATTGGCCTATGGGAAACCAAGTTAGAAATCTTCAAACATATAATGAATGAGAAAATATCCAGAGCAATGAAGTCAATTTGATAAAATCAAAGATGTACAATGGAAACAATCATTTCTGAGACCCATTTTAACTTCAAGCATTAGATTTTATGCTGCAATGAAAGAATTCCAGGTTAACTATCTAAAACAACTATTAAGAGAGGTAACACTTACAATGAGGTTGACAATTAATGGAAGCAGCTGTTCAAACCACGGTAACACCTTTTCCTTGTAGCTACTGAATATTGAGTGTAAAATATCTGACACTTTGGTCAGAATATAAACATCATTTTCATCCTAAAAAACATACACACACACACACATACACATCCATATGGAATAAAAAGTATGTTTTTTATTATCAAGAGTAACATTTATAAAAACCTTAAAAAAGCAGAAAATAAATTTTTCATTCCTGTCTTAAGGGTAAATCAAGAATCTGGAGACTGGAATAACCTTCAAGGGTGAGTATCACGTCTCTAATCAAAGGTGTGTAGCAAGAACTGTATTCACTGCAAAGATTTTCCTTGGAACACACTTAAGATGGGTTGAAAAACTGTCTCTAATTTCTACATTCTGAAACAAAGGAGTTTTTACTATTTTTACTTTTTGTTTTCAGCAGAATAAACCTCATTTCGGGGTGAGATGGTGGGGAGAGTGGGGTCTTGTTGTTAGTAGCAACTTGGGCCTACAAGCATGTGAGCACCTTCAGGGAACTGGTACTACCTACATGTCAGCACTGGCCCACCACGTGGCCACATATGAGATGCTGGCCTCTAAACACACAATGAAATAGCTTGACGGTCCTAGGTGGTTTGATGAGAGAACTAAGTAACATGGTGAAAAAGGCCCCAGATTGTCAACAGTGTGACTGTGGGCAATCATTTAACATTGGAATTTTAGGTTATTCATCTTTAAAATAGCGAAAGCACCACAAAGTGCAAATGGTTGTTGTGAGCAGTATGTAAATGAACTATGTAAACCTCGAGGTGTTTTGACGACTGAGGTATTACAACCAAATGCACATGGCACCAAAAGACCTATCAGTTTAATTTCAAATTACTTATTCATAAATTAAGAGATGAAATACATCAGATTCCTCTGCTAAAGACTGATAATTACATCAGAATGACAAGTCAAATTAATCAGAAACTGAGGCATTTACAAGTCTTTCTGATGTAAGTGGTCACGTAAATAAGTTCCAAAGGGAATAATTTACCTCATCTTGTAGTGACTCTTCAACCTGTTCATCATAGTCTTCATCTTGTCTTTTAACTAAAACACACCCAAATAAATGTTTTTAAATGATCACCAAAATGGTCAAGGATTATATTCAGAAATAAAAGCATGGATGGAAATCTTACCTTGTCGTAATTCTTGATTTTTAAAATGTTCTTCAAGCTTTGCTTTCAATATACCACCCAGTTCTTCAAAGTGTTCATTATTAAGGCATCCATCTCCCATTACTTCAATGCACTAATGAGGGTGAGGAAAGAAAGCAACCCATAAGATTAGGGGTGTTTAGAGTCCAAAGTTAAACTCCACTAAAAATCATATGGAAAAATAAACACACTTCCACTATCCTGGAAGATTAATTATTTACATACGCTTACTGTGTATTTGTTAGAATGATAGCATTTTAGAGAGTGGAGTTAGAAAAAATATTTTCTTTTAAACAGTACTAAGTATACCTAGGAGCCAGGCATTATGCTAGGTACTCAGGATTCAAAGATGGAACACACGCATACACACACACACACACACACACACACACACACACACACCCCAGCTCCTAAGGAACACAGCTGCTATATCCATACTCGTTACAGACAACATACAAAGAGAACATTGAAGGAAGGGCACTAGAAGTAGAAGAAATAATATAGGCAAAGGTATGGAAGCATGCTTTGGAAAACAGAAGAAATTCTGAATTGCAGAAGTGTAAATAAGGCCACATAAAGATGCTAAGAAATTTTAAATCTTAAACCAAGATTGGAGCAAACCAGAGTTGTGCAAAATGGGAGTGACACTGTATGAGAAAGGAAGTGACTCAATGAAGAGCAAGGTAATGCTTAAGGAAAGAAGAATGAACTGAGAGGAAAGGAAAGGAGGCATTGGGAGTAGACCAAGTGAGGCTATTTCAACAGCAGAAAAAAAAGAGATGGGGCAAAAAAAAAAAAAAAAAAAAGAGGCCAGGCACAGTGGCTCACGCCTGTAATCCCCGTGCTTCAGGAGGCTGAGGTGGGTGGATCATGAGGTCAGGAGATAGATAGAGACTATCCTGGCTAACACAGTAAAACCACGTCTCTACTAAAAATACAAAAAATTAGCCAGGCTTGGTGAAATGTGCCTATAGTCCCAGCTACTCAGGAGGCTGAGGGAGGAGAATCGCTTGAATCAGGGTGGTGGAGGTTGCAGGTGGCGCCACTGAACTTCAGTGTGGGCAACAGAACAAGACTCTGTCTCAAAACAAAATAAAACAAAACAAAAAACAAACCCACAAATACAAAAAAGAGGGAATTAGGCAAATGGAAAGAACAGAAATTGGAGATGATATTCAAGCTTCTGCAGTTAGATTATTCAGTACACGATGATAGAAACTATTCAAGACTGAAATACTAGAGTATTCAGTTTCTTCTCTTTTTCCAAAGAATGCATGCTTCATGTTGTTGCCCGTAGCATTGCCTCTACCTATACCGCCCTTCCAGGGTAAATTTACCCTTTTTTAAAGAGACATAATAATATCAAAATATTAAATAATACATTTAACATTTTTATTTTTGAAAAATCATATATCACAGCATATAAAAATTTAGCTGGCTTATCCTAGCACTTTGGAAGGCCAATGCAGATCACTTTAGGCCAGGAGTTTGAGACCAGCCTGGGCAACGCCATGAAATCCCGTCTCTACTAAAAACACAAAAAGTAGCCAGTTATGGTGGTGCACCTCTGTAATCCTAGCTACTTGGAAGGCTGAGGCATGAAAATTGCTTGAACCCAGGAGGCGGAGGTTGCAGTGAGCTGAGATTGTGCCACTGCACTTCAGCCTGAGTGACAGAGCAAGACTGTCTCAAAATTTTTTTAACTTTTAGCAAGACTAATGAGTGAACATACAACCTTATATATATTCTTTAAGAGAAAAATATTCACCTTTGCAAAAGAATGCATTATTTCTGAGAGGACGTCTGAATCTGGTTCTGTACCAATGGCCTTAATTAGAGCATCACACATAAAATGCCACATTTGTGTGAGATATTCAGGACCACGGACTCTTGCACACTCCAGGAGAAGAGGCATGGATTCTGCTGCTGCCACTCGAACACGTTTCATTGTTAAGGAAATGCAATCACTAAGGAACCTCAAAAGATTGTTAATTATTTTGCTTAAATGTTAAAGTGTTCATGTTCATTGCACTAATAGGAGTATTAGGCAACTCCAGCTATCCAAGAGCTTGTGTTAAATATAGAGCATGTATAAAAATATAAAAGTCTCCTCTGCCTACAAGACATACCTTCTGTCTCCTCTGTTACCTATAACAGTGGCAGGAATTGAGTCCAGCAGCAGTGAAGGGCTGCCTACTGCTCAAATGAAAACCAAAACACAAAAATGACTATGAAAGGACCCATGACCATTAGCAGGCCTCAAGGTGTACCTACCTCAAAACCTTAAGTACTGCATGTTTCTAACAAATAAACTGAAGCATGTTCCTGAAAAAACCTACCAAGGACCCTCTTCCTATGCTGGCCTTTTCAGTTTTCAATAAAGACTAAATTGCCTTTCCCTATCTAATCTCATTTATAAAATAAGGTCTTGATTCCTCTTATAAGCAATTCTGCTTTGTCCTCTGGCATCCTGGGAAGTAAGTGTGTGTTGGGTAAAAGCTGTCTTAGGTAGAGGACACCACTACAGGATACCGTAAGAGGAATGACGACAAAGGGGCTCTGGAGTCAGATCTGGGTTTGTTTCTGGGCTCTACCACTCTCTTGTGTGTAACGCCATAAAAATGTACCGGAAAATATTAACTATAACTATCATGATGTTGAGAAGCAAAACACTGGAATGCAGATGTGGGTATATCACCTGAGGTCAGGAGTTCGAGACCAGCCTAGCCAACATGGTGAAAGTCTGTCTCTATTTAAAAAAAAAAAAAAAAATTAGTTAGGCATGGTCGCACATGCCTGTGATCACAGTTACTCAGGAGGCTGAGGAGGAGAATCACTTACTTGAACTTGGGAGGTGGTGGTTGCAGTGAGCTGAGATTGCACCACTTTACTCCAGTCTGGGCGACAGAGTGAGATTCTGTCTCAAAAAAAAAAAAAGAATGCAATGTTTCTCCCCAAAGGTGCTATTCACATTTGAAATGCAGGATTCTCAATGCTACAGAAAGTTGACTATCAGTGGATCTCTAACCTATTAAGACAGGTCTTGCCAGCTGGGCATGGTAGCTCACACCTGTAATCCCAGCACTTTGGGGGGCCAAGGCAGGCAGATCACAAGGTCAGGAGTTCGATACCTGCCTGGCCAACATCGTGAAACCCCCGTCTCTATGGTAAATTAGCTGGGCGTGGTGGCAGGTGCCTGTAATCCCAGCTACTCAGGAGGCTGAGGCAGGAGAATTGCTTGAACCCAGGAGGCAGAGGTGCAGTGAGCTGAGGCCGTGCCACTGCACTCCAGTCTGGAAGACAGAGCAAGACTCCATTTCAAAAAAAAGATAGGTCTTGCTGGGCACAGTGGCTCATGCCTGTAATCACAGAACTTTGTGGGGCCAAGGCAGGAGGGCTGCTTGAGCCCAGGAGTTTGAGACCATCCTGGGCAACATAGGGTGACCTTGTCTCTACAAAAAAATCTATCTGGGCACAGTGTATGAACCTGGGTCCTAGCTACTTGGGAGATGTGACTTCAGTAAGCCCTGATCACACCACTGCACTCCAGCCCAGGTGACAGAGTGAGACATACCTCTTTAAGGAAAAAAAAAAAAAAAAAAAAAAAAGTCTTATTTTCTTAAGGTTTACTAAAAGATATTTGGGGAAAGTAGCAACTATATATAATTGTAGTCATTTGCTAACTAAATATTAATCCTTAAAATCCTTAGGAGGGCCACAGAAAGCTGACAAACGGAGGATAGATAACATTTTGTTTTTCATGTTTTGGCGCAGGTAGAAACAAAGGCACATGCAGAAAAGCGAGTTTATCATCTCAAAGTGCAGTTAGTGCAAATACAAACTATCATGGTGATGTCTACTTCAGTCAACACCGTCTAATACTTCAAGAAACTACAAGTTTACTAAATCTAGACATGGTTTGTGTTCAAAAGTTGTAGGATATCATCATGGAAATAAAATTTCAGTAAAGGGACCATCAGTTTGACAACCTGCTCAGTGTACTCCACAAAGCCTTCCTTTAACTCCTTAGCATAGCAAACCTGCAACCAAAGTATTGGGAAGAAATAAAGATTCATGTTAGTTTTCAAGCATTAATATTAACAAACAGCAAAATCACAAGGACCACGAGGTTGTATTTTGACTAGAACTACATTTAAAGTTGCATGTAGGACTGTCAAATTAGTCTTCCAACTAAAAAGAATTTTAAAAGGTCATAAAATGACTGTAGTACTGGTGAGTGACAAAAAGAAAAGGAAATTATTGTCATATATATAGTCATCCAAAGGCTGGAATCATTCACATTTTTAATTTCTTGTGTATGGGAGAATTCACCAAGTTTCAGCAATACATCAAACAAAATACATCACTTAATTGAGGAAAAATCATTCTAAAAGATATTAAAAAAACCTGAAAGTATCAGTTAATTGTAGCATTTACTTTGTAAATCTGCGGCAAACAGGCTTAAGTTGTATTTTTAAATAATCATTTCAACAGTGAAACAGAAAAAAAAGTGTAGTCTTTTAAACAATTTTTTTATTCTCTTCCACTACATTGAAAGATTAGATAATTTTGTTTGAAGATGTTATTAGTTGTATTTGCTCTCCAGATGACAGTGGGGGAAAAAACCTCACAAAAATCCCAATGTTTATAGATACTAATCATTGAAGGTGACAATCATAAATACACTTTTAAATGAATTAGAACACAGCAATATAAATACAAATAAAATTTAAGCAACTTTTATTTAGGTTTACTTAACTGCTAAATTTGTAATATACCATGATTTCTAAAATTTAACTTTAAAAATAGGTATTATCCTTCACTTTAAAACACATGCTCATAAAGAAAACAAACAGAAAACTAGGAACTAAACACACATACACACATCATAAACACCATAGGGGACAACTGAACATTTCGATTTTCCTGCCATATCTATTTTTTTACACAATTGAAATCATACCAGTTTTGTTTTACACTAAATAGCATGAACACACTTCTGTTCATTTGTTTAACAAATATTCCGTGGTCACCTACTACAGACTAAGCACATACCAAAAAAGCCACAAAAATCTTTCCCTCCTGTAGCTTATATTCTCAACTCTTTGTAATGGCTGTGTATTATTCCAGGGCACAGTAATTTATCATTTACCTTCCCACTAACAGGAATTTTGTCTATTCACTGTTTTTTGCTATTTAAAACAGCACTGATAAGGTTTATCCACATGGTTTCTTTAAATTGGAAAGAACATTTTACTTTTTAAGGAACATATTCCTGGCTCTCCAAAATAACTTCTTTAGCAGCTATTAAAAGCCCTCATATGAAATGTATGTAAGATATAAAAGTTTAGCAAAAATAGTGCTCTCTTACCAACATCTGGCAAGCAGTTGACTTTTCTTCTAATCCTGCAGTTTTAATACCAAAGCTTTGCTGATCTCCAAGGTTCACAAATTCCCAGCCATCATCATCACTCATATTCTCCATGTCTTGGGCTATTAACAGAGGAGAAAACAAATGCATAAGAAAAACAATAACAAAGAGAGAACTGTTATAACCAATATGTCCTTCTAAAGACACCTACTATCTAAAAGGGCTACTTCAGGCTTAATTGAAGCCGTCTTCATTAAAGGCCCCATGACCACTGGAAGGTATTGCTGAAATTCTTTTCCAAGGATTTTGCACATTCTGGCCCATGCTGAGATCATGTAAGAGATCTGGGGAAAAAATTTAAAATTAAAATAGATTAAAAAAATGGGTAACTGTGATAAAGAAAGCCATTTCCTTATTTCACACAAACAATGTTTTATTGCTATGTTCATGGTACTTTAAGCAATAAGAGCATTTTTAAAGGTTATGTACTTAAAAGGTTCAGAATCTATAATGAAATCCCCGTGAACTCGCCCTGCACTGGGAATATGGACAGCAGGTGAGGCAAAAAAAAAGACCAGAATCTTGTGTATTTCTTTCTACTTTCAGTAAGTAATTATAGTCTTCTTTCTTAGCATATGAATCACCTAAATGAAACTAATCACCTAAACCAAACCAAACATTTCACCAAACCTCCAGTCACAATTTTTTTGAAGACAGAAACATATTTTATCTGACTCTGTATCCCTATTGCCTGCCACTCTACTCATTAAACATTTATTAAAACCCAAGAAACAAAACGTGCTATAAGTGGCTGAGTATGTTTAAGACACCTCCTCTCCTATTACTGTGTTTACACAGACGTCATCATCTGCAAATTACCTAGAGAATCTGGTTCCATTCACCATCCCTGCAAGCTAGAAAGTGATTCTTATCCCTTGGTATCTGTCACCCACCTACCTATTTATCTATTGAGCATGCACAGACACATGCCCCACCTCTTAATGATTCTGTATGTAAAAGTCAAGTCCACCCACTCTACGGATAGGTACTGTGTGTTTCTCACATGCCAGGCATTAAACTATACGCTGGCTGATACAAAGGTGAGCAACACACCTCGTCCTTACCACCCCTCTGTATAGCTTACAGTCTCCCCAGCCTCCCCACTATCACGAGTCAGCTAAGTATCCCTCCTGCCTTTTGTCTCTGCACATACAGACATACATGTATATTTGTATGTCATTTTGCAAAGAAAGCAAACAACAAAACATGCTTTCTTTGCAAAATAGTATGCTTTCCTATTTAAACTATGAGAAACTATTACAATGTGGCTATGTAAGGTCAGAATTTAATTCAACAATTATTTGAGTGCCTAACATATAACATATAACAATATGCTAGGCGTTGGGAATATCATCAAGATTATGGTAAACATTTACGATGTTACTGTAACACAAAGTTGGAAGTGCCCACCACTGACACTGAACAGCTCTGGAAAATCTTGTAAAGGATGAGAACTGTGAGCCGGGATTAGCTGGGCGTGTATGCCTAAGTGTGCATGTGCATGTGTGTTGGGAGGCAGGGGTTCCTCCTAAATACAAAGACATTTCTGTCTTTGTATTTTCATCTGCGGAGAGGGATAAGCAGTGTGCTCTGAGATTCTTGGGTTCTGTATTTTCTGCTAGGGAAGGGAAGTCATGCAGCCTTCAAAGGGCTAGGAGACACCTAAATGGAGATGTCTATTATGTGATTGGACAAATGAATCAATTCTGAAGATCTGAAAGTTGCAAGCATATGGAGGAAACTGGAAGCCATGACTGTGAGTGACACTATTCCACCGGAGCGAAAGATAAGAGAGCTTTGGACAGAACCCACAAACACCAAAACTTGAGTGAGAGTCAGAGAAAGCAAGAGCAACCTTCAACAGACTGAGGAAAAAGGGCTTGACAAACAGAAGGAAAATAAAGAGTGTCTCTGCCAGTAGGGGTTGGTAGTATGTCAAGAAACCTATTGCTCATTTTGTTTTAAATATATTGAACCTTGTGCTGTCCACAGCTCATGAGTAGATCAAGCCAAATGTATTAAGACTACTTACCTGAGGATCATCATCTTCCATATCATTGAAGTCTGTCTGGGTCTTTAACAATAGTTGCATCACATCGGAGGCATCCTGCATGAACTAGAGGAAAACAGAGACACATTTGTTGATACCCAATTCTGCTTCTTGTGTAACTAGCAAAGCACTGCCAAAAAATCGACTACATTGCCCACATAGGTCATAACCTCCACAGATAAAACTATCATATTGGAAAATTATCATCTATATTGCGACAGATTTAGTGCACTTTCTAGAAAAATATATTTTCCACCGAAGGGCAGTGAGCTGCAGTATAAAGGTACTTCTAATGCCATCAGGTGTTAGTCTACGGCTTATGTATTTCAAGCAGTAAAACTGAATTCCAATTGAGAAATAAAATTTTGGATTGTTTATAGAATTCACTGCAAAAAATTTCATCTATGATTTTCACTTAACTCTGCAGTTCTAGTAATCTCCATTGTATAGACAGGTGGCGTTTTAAAGAGACTTCAAAAGCCAGATATACGGAGTACGGGACATACAAATATTTTACTGGTATAAAACATACCAATGTTTTAGTGGTCAGTGTCTCACAGAAACCAGTTTCAAATATAAATTAATACAGATGCTGGTTTTAAAGAAGGCAAGACAGAGAGGTTCCATGCTGATAGTTCTGAGGGTCAGAACATGAGGGTTCAGTGACAGAGAAACTTCTTTTGCACTAGCTTAAACAATTCTGAGATGTTGGCTGAGAAACACACTGGCCAATAGTCCTTTGTAATTATTTTCTGAAGATATGTATGCACAGATTTCTTTCTTAGGACACTTAATGCATTTTAGATTAATAAGAAAGCAACTGACATGTTTCCAAGCACATATTAAAGGGAACTGAACATGGATACTGAACTCCACACACCTTCCATGAGATACACTGTGTGTAGTGGGGAAAAGGCGGGGTATCAAGAGCATGGCTGAGCTAAAAAGAAACCTTAATATTGACAATGAAAAGACAGGTGGGGTGCAGTGGCTCACACCTGAGAGCAGATTGTTTGAGGTCAGGAGTTCAAGGCTAGCCTGGCCAACATAGTGAAACCCAGTCTCTACTAAAAATACAAAAATCAGCCAGGAGTAGGGGCAGGCGCCTGTAGTCCCAGCTACTTGGAAGGCTGACCCAGGAGAACTGCTTGAACTCGGGAGGCGGAGGTTGCGGTGAGCTGAGATCCTGCCACTGCACTCTAGAGCATGGGTGACAGAGTGAGACTCCGAATCAAAAAGAAGAAGAAAAAAAAGAAGACGAAGGCAAGAATTAATCTGTATACAAAACAGGAGCAACGTAAAAGGAGCATGATAAAAAACAAAAAAAAAAAACAAGCATTCAGAAACTGGTTTACCAGAAGGAAGAAAATCCCTCTAGTACTCTCAATGCCTCAACAGCCAAGTTACATACAGTAAATTTAAAATAACAGAAATCACTTACTTTTTCCTTCCCAACAGCCAGACCAATGAGGCTAATGCACTCAATAGTTTTTCCTCTCAGAAGTCTCAGCTCTTTTTGAACGGCATTCTCAACGATGTGCTTCAGGGATGGCATAAATAAATCATAGTAGGGGACAAATTTTTCTTCTGCAGTATCTGCAACTGACGCAATGGATGTCACGACTTGTTCCAAAACTAACTTGGTACCTTTCTGAATCAGCTAGAAAAAAGACACACAAATTACTTCAAAGAAATACTTAAATTTATAGTTTACTACAGTATTTAAATTTACAATTTACTACTCCCTTCAAGTTCTTGAATGCTCTTCTGAAACAGCAGAATAAGACCACCTCTCCAGAAGCAGAAAATGCAGGTTTTAGAGGAAATTTCTATAAAAAGAATCTGTGTTGAACTATTTATGTGGGATTTTTTTCTCTCTTCGGTTAGCACAGCACCCCTTACTCATTTTTGTCTCATCTCAACGCACAGCTAGTTCTTTTATTTATTTATTTATTTATTTATTTATTTGGAGATGGAGTTTCACTCTTGTTGCCCAGGCTGGAGTGTAATGGCGCGATCTCGGCTCACTGCAACCTCCGCCTCTGGGTTCAAGTGATTCTCCTGCCTCAGCCTCCCAAGTAGCTGCGATTACAGGCATGTGCCACCAAACCTGGATAATTTTTTATTTTTAGGAGAAACGGAGTTTCTCTTGTTAGTCAGGCTGGTCTCAAACTCCTGACCTCAGGAAATCCACCTGCCTCAGCCTCCCAAAGTGCTGGTATTACAGGAGTGAGCCACTGTGCTTGGCCCATCACAGCTAGCTCGAGTACAAATACGAACCCAATTTTTTTAGTTCATCAACTTCAATGACTATACTTCATACTCATTTTTTCTTCACTGATTTCCTCTACTTAGGATTATTATTTTGTGCTATGTCATAAAGAAAAACCCCTTTGGCCCCTTCCTTTATCCTCTAAACTCACCCTCCCCAGAAGATGCCACCAAGGAACCCAGTTGCCTTTCTTCTGCATCTGGCTTGCTGAAACAGATGAGTGACCTTTTTCTCTGCACCAAAGATCTGCTATTCTCTTATCCAGCTGGTTACAAATGCTTACTACCTATTTGTGCTGGGCCAGCCCTGTCACCAGCAATATTTTAAAATAATTCTTCTGTAATCTCAGCACTTTAGGAGGCTGAAGCAGGCGGATCACCTAGGTCAGGAGATCAAGACCAGCCTAGTCAACAGGGTGAAACCCTGTCTCTACTAAAAA